ACGCCGTCGTCGCGCTCCCACTCCCCCCAAACAACCCGTGGTTTTATTAGCAGACCCTCGTTGGAGTCCCGCCCGCGCGTTCACTGGTTAAAAAAGCGTTTAAGTTCTATCCCCATATCCCGCCATCACAGCAGATATGTCCTACGCGACCGATTTGCGCGTCGGCGGCAAATGGCGCTTGGGCCGTCGTATCGGCGCCGGTTCTTTCGGAGACATCTACATAGGCGTCAACATCCAAACAAACGAAGAGGTTGCAGTCAAGTTGGAGAACGTCAAGACCAAGCATCCCCAACTCATTTATGAGAGCAAGATCTACCGCTACCTTAACATCTCTCCCAACGGACAACCGGTTGTCGGTATTCCGAAAGTTCGCTGGTATGGCTGTGAGGGCGAGTACAATGTCATGACTATCGACTTGCTGGGCCCTTCGCTGGAGGACTTGTTCAACTTTTGTCACCGCAGGTTTTCTCTTAAAACTGTACTTATGCTTGCCGATCAAATGATTCAGAGAATTGAGTACGTTCATTCGAGAAGCTTTCTGCATCGCGATATCAAGCCAGACAACTTTCTCATGGGTTTGAGCAAGGAATCAAACACAGTTTATGTCATCGACTTTGGGCTCGCCAAGAAATATCGTGACCACAAGACGCATGTCCATATTCCGTATAGGGAGAACAAGAACCTTACAGGTACTGCTCGTTACGCGTCTATCAACACTCACCTTGGCATCGAACAGTGCCGTCGCGATGATCTCGAATCATTGGGTTTTGTCCTCATGTATTTCAACCGGGGTGCTTTACCCTGGCAGGGACTCCGGGCCGCCACCAAGAAGCAGAAGTATCAGAAAATCTCAGACCGTAAGGTCTCCACCTCTATCAACGAACTCTGCAAAAACTACCCCCCAGAGTTTGCCACATACCTCCGGTACTGCCGGTCTCTTCGCTTCGACGATCGTCCGGACTACGCATATTTACGCGGTCTTTTCCGCGACCTCTATCTTCGTGAAGGCTATGCAGATGACTCTATTTTTGACTGGACCCTTATGAAGAATCAGGATGGCAGTGGTGCATCAGCGAATCCCGCCGCCCAGGCTTCGGCTCCTGCCCAAGGGGGCCATGTCTATACGCCGCACGGCCCCGATGGACAAGACATGGGTCAGCAAAACGTGGTTGATAGTACAGGATTGCATCACCCACATGGGGCGGGTGGAGTGCCGCCCTACAGTTACCATCTGACGCCCACGCTGCCCGGGCCCCCGCTCCCGCACATGCACCACAACCCCTCCATGATGAAGACTACAGGCAACGGTATGCCGTCTTCAAGCAATCGGCGTGGTGACCCAGGGGCGGGGGGTTCCCGACCGGTAGATGCGAGAAAAGATGGTAATGGCCAGCAAAGGATTTCACGGATGCGCATACCATCTCTTGGGAGGCGTTAGACCTATCATATAGTTTGACGTCCGTCTTATGTGTGGTTTTCTTAACTATGCAGTCCTGTCAAGAGAAGAACAAACCTGTTTTAATGTTGTGCTTCTGCTTATTCCGTTCACAGTTGTTGTTCTTACGTGTGTTTGTTTGTTCCCCTTCTAAAGGACATCGACTTAGTGTCGCTGTAGTCTATATTCAGCTTCTGTCCGTGTCAACACTTCTGTTGAGTGAACGTAAGCGTTCTGAAGGCAAGCGAAAGTAATACTGCGTATGCCCTGTCGTTTGCTACGTGCTGCGGGTGAGCATGTTCTCAACTTCAATGATTTCTGAACTGTTTGAATGGCACTCGGAACGCCATTCCTCGCAATGTTAGCGATCTGCAAGTTTTCTTTCGTACTTGGACTCGTACTCTGAAGTAGTTAGGCGCGGTACAAGGTGCTGTCTTTACCGGTATTTGTGTCGGCATGTGCAGTTTTTGGCTGTGCGGCCACCGTTTTCAAGCCCACGGCAGCCCAAGAAGGGCAGAGTCATGGGACGTTGTGCTGAGAGGGTTTCATGTGCTCCGCAAGGGAATGTATTTTGGATCTGACTTTCCGTGCGCACAGCTTAGCTGTCAAATTATGCAGAACGTTAGAACTTTGAATGACAACTAAAAGTTTGGCCACGCGCCCCAATCAAAGAACATATACCGAATGAAATGTATCTACTGTACAGTAGAGCCAAACCGCGAGTGATGATGAAATGCGCAAAAACAAATAAAAATAATAGTATCTGTCAGTAGATGCGCACGTACAGTAGAAAACCGGTCAGCGCGCACCAAATTCATATCCACACAGTAAAGTCGTAATTCACTAGGAAATGCGCAGTACAGTACCTTTACCGCATTTATTGATTAAAATCAAAGAGAACACAATACATTACCCGTACAGTACTCTAAAACAAACCACGTAAATGGAAGGAGATGCGCACGTAACACCTCCCTACTCCGTGTCACTGTCATCAAACAGTGCACGACGCGTGCCACTAGACATGCGAACGCGGCGATTTTCTGTGTTTTCAACGTGTACACGGCGCCTCTTTCGCATCTGACTGGTTGATATGGCCCGTAGGCGATTACGTACACCAGTGCTGTGCTGCCCGTCCTCGAAGCGGAGAGGGCGGGCCCTGACACTCAGATTAGTCAACGCCAGGCACGCTTTGAACACGTGCTCGTACAATCCCTCTCCCCAGCGCCACTTATGAGAAAGTACAGTCCATAAACTGCACATTCTCCCAAAGTAGTTTTCTACTATGACACGATCAGAAGATACTTGGCGATTGTAGTCCACGTCGTCCAATGACAGGGTTGAACGTGCCGGGGTTCGCACCGGGTGCACCACACGTAGATCTTCGGCTGCACCTTGATATCCCTTGTCCGCCAGTATGGCTCAGTAGTCATCCATAAATTCGCTCAATCGTCCCTCATCTGTAAACCGCAAATCACGTACCCCCTTTTTAGATGCCTCCTCATGAAAGGGTCTATTACGACGAAATATCTCCAGATCTGACACGGAGCCCGGATAGTGCTCCGTGCACCCAATAGCAAGACCAGTAGGCAGTACTGAAACTTCCACTTTGTACCCATACAGCTTATGCTTACCGGAGAAGTATCGCTTCCCTTCTGATATATTTCCACTTGGACGATTGCTCTGCTGAAAAGTGACGTCGACAGCATATCTCGCGTATTCAAAATTCGAAAACACCCGGTCCTCCAGACGACACTTGGCCATTGTCCATTTTTCCTCGACGCGTGCCACACATATATCATACATGTGTTCTGATATCATACGTAGAAATCCAGTTATTAAACGTTCGAATGTAGAACATTTAACAGAAAATAGACGAGCTGTAAAGTTCCATTGCTGACCATGCTTGAGTACAGTAAGTGTCATGAAGAGAACATCTTGGGCCTTGTACTGTGTTCTTTTACCTCTGCCAACATTCCAATTCTTTGACACGTAGTCTTCAATCATAACCCATAGTTCGAAGAATTGAGAGGAATCAAAATTACACATTGCCTTAATAGATTGAGAACCTCCGTCATTATAAAACGTGTCATAAATCGGACAATTGGAGTCGTTCTCATCATCGCTGGCGACCACGTCGTCATCAATGTGATCGACGATCTCATTGACGTGTCGGTTGGTGATGTCCGAAAGAGCCTGAACAGCGCGGGAGGGATTCATTTTTGAAATAGTAATAGAGTGGGAGAAATGAGGAGCAGCTGCAAGAAGTGGTTTTTCTATATCAACTGCGCAGTTGTTCCATTTTATAGTGTTTAGTTTGAGTAGACTGAAACTGCGAGGCATATCTCACAAAAAGGCGGGCTATCCCGTTTTTGAAAGTTGACTCGCAATTGTAGATATGATGCACAACTTATGCTATAATCTGCGTTGCTGTATTATTTGCACACTTAGTTTACTTTTCTACTGATATTCCCCAAACTCAAAGTGCTTTCACGCAACTGCAATACTTGAGGTTACTGTACGTAGTTACCCTAGTATACCATGATACGGTCGGATTGCTAGGTTAGGGGGCTAGAAACGAGGAACGCGGATTTCAAGCTGATTACAGTGTCATCTGGGTGTCCCTACACTCATGACAAAACGGCTCACACCGGGTTGCTTGATCTTCACTTCACCTGTGATTTGTGTTGTTAAACGGACGCAGGGGGCGTATTAATTGCGATCCGGCGAACCCATAATGTCCTCTATTACGCAGTCTCATACATAAGGGTTTATTGTTGTTTCTCGGCGGAGTCACAATGAATTAAAGGCACCATATGCTTCGCATTAGTAGACTACTGCGAAGAAGTGTAACCATGCCAACTGGAATTGCGCAATTTCTTTCGTCCGAGATCGACAATGAGATATGAAATCCTTCGTGAGAAGCGGAGGTGAGGCCGGCTCTATTTAATGGTGGCCCACACCGACACCAATCAATCCAGCAGAATTTATTGCAGTACTTCCGTTCATGGAAGCTGTCGTTCAGGAAATTGCATCTTAATCCGGGATGGCAGAGCTGTATGCCCGGCTGTATCTCTGCTCGATGTACAGTACAATTGCTTCGCTAATGGGATGAAAATTGCTATTTCTTTAAAACCTAGAATTATTGAGGTAGACTTAGGTCAGGCGGTCGCGAATGAATGACAGAGCAAGGAACTTCTGTACAAGCCTCACATCAAGGAATCTTACCTGGATGTCTTCAGAGCAAAAGCAAAACGTTACGAAAAGAGGGAGGTAAACCCTAGGACCAAGTCAACTTCGCCCATTCACAGATGGTTTGGCTGCTCTTGCTGACTTATTCTTGTTGGCTCGGCGCAATGTTGACATCGTTCTATTGACCTTTTTGTTGCGAGACTTGGCGTTTCTCATTTCACGCAAAGTCTTTTCATCAATTGAGGCAGAGCTCTCTGCCAATGCCGTAAATAAAAACGGAGTACGTCGTGGAATTGTGGCGAGAACTTTATCCTCGTTGGTCTTATGCTTGAAAGCCTGAAGCTTCTCTTGTGCCGTTTGGAAGTGCTTGACCGTCTCCATCGCAGCCTTCCTCTCTGCAGCAACACTGTCCTTAGGTGCGCGTCGGCCCTCTTCCGGTCTGTCAAATTCATCGAGCAAATCGTGATAGTTGTTGTTGCTTTGATACACAGGCCGGGCCCATCGCTTCATGAGCTTGTCAGCAAGGCGCCGATTTGACGGAATATCATCCTTCATAGAAAGAAAATGAATAAGCTTTCCAAGTCCTTGTGAACTATGGAGCCTTTCAACCCAATCGCTGTCGACTGGGATGTCCAGGAGTATCTGCAGCATAGTGCTGCGAATCTCCACGTTTGGAAGGGCGCCATCTGGCATGGGGTCCAGCCAGGCCTTGACAATGGCAAGAAGCATATTATCGAGTAATATTTCTCTGTGGCTAACTTTCATGGCCATAAGCTCGACATCCCTTAACATTTTCAGCTTGTTAAGAGCGGGCTTGCCTGACCTATATGCTTTGATATCTGCATCTCGGGCGCCCATCATGCTTTCCAAAAAGGCAATGCACTCCGATTCAATCTTTTTCGGGTCAAGTTCCTTGCGCCTCGGACGACGAAGGGCCTTGTTATCTTCAATAGCCCTCTCGATGGCGTTGAGGGATTTTCTCGAGCGTGGAGCTTCCTCCTCATCTGGGTCAGCCTCAATCTCGTCACTGACATGCATTCCACCCTCAGTCTTGATGATATCATCGTCGTCATGGCCAGCTTTCCTGGCTAGATCGTCATCAATAAAACCGTCTTCATCTCTGTCATCACCCCGACGCAAACGAGCTTTCTTCGACTTCTTGCTCGATTTTGATGATGAATTGGATGCCCTGTTCCTGTGGTCCGTTATTGGCCCTTCGTCAGAGTCGTAATCTGGGTAATCAGGGTTCTGGCGCTTGGAGGGTCGGCGACGAAGACTCTCCAGCTCATCATCGTCATCGGAATCAGAAAACTCAATAGGACGGCGTGAGGTAGCGGGCAAAGAGGCTCCTTTGGACGGCAAGTCATCTTCAGAATCAGAATCAGGCATGACTGGGGCCCGTCGAAGACCCGAAGAGGATGAAGAGGGACGAGATGCGGAGTGGTTTTTCGATGCAGGGGATGCTAGCTTACGTCGGAACTCTTCCTCTTCACCAGAGTCCAAATCAGAGCCGAAGACCTCATGAAGGACAATGCCATTGGGATCGGACATAGCGGCGTGGCGGTGAGGAGTCCACAACAACTGCGAATTCTGGAGAGATAACAAGGACAGCAACGGCCCACGCAGCAAGGAGAGACGACGGTTTTGTGCCGCAAGGTTGTGGAACAGGAGACGCAAGGTGAGTCGGGACCAGGATGCGGATGCCAGAAAGGAGGCGCTTCAGGTGCGTGGGGGTCGGGACGTAGGGTATGTAAACGAATGTGAAAAATGAAGGACACCAGAAAAGTTGGGTTGACGATGACGCACAAGGACTGGTGGCCTATTGATATACGCCAAGTGGGCGTAGATGAAGTGGTTACAGGCTTTTAGGAGACTTTCTTGGCTCGGACAGGCTGAGCGGTCGCTGATTAGTGCACCCTTGAACAATGCGTCTCAAGCGTTACAGTTTCAGCTACGAATGCCCAGGCTCTCGCCCTAAACCAGACAGAAATCATCCGTATAATGCTCCCTTCAGATCTCTTTCAAGGGGTGCAATATGTTGTATACCGCACTGCAGTACTGCCCAAATAAAGAACAAGCGATAGTGCCTGGATTTGCAGACGGTACTACACAGCGCACTATAACACCACAGGCACTAATGTTCCCAACAGGCTTCAATTCGATTCGATTAAGAACGTCTATCATGTAAGGCACTGAACTACTGTAACAATAAAGACCGTTCTCCTTGGCACTGAGAAACTGTCGACCCCGAAAGTGTCGACCCCGAAATTGCCGAGGCAACCATTGTCTCAACTATCGCTCCTCCGACCATGTAACACATCTAGTCAAGCGTCATTCTGCCGACGCAGCCATGCGCCGCTGCTTGAAGCTGCCTTTCCCATTTCGCGCACCTCGTCCCCCCAAACTGTCTAAAACATATTCCATTCGCGACACAGTCTCCAGTCAAGTCGGGCCGTGTCTGCCGTATCGAATCATCCTCCCCGCCCTCACCTGCATAAGTTCTCGTGCGCACGAATGGGGAAAACGCTCCAGTAGGAAATTTGCTGCCTCCTCGTCCTTCTTGTAAAAGAAAAGCAGTTGCTTTGTATTGAGTTAGTATCCTCTTCGTAAATGTTCATGCTCAACTTACAACGCAGTAGAATTCTCCGACGCAATGCCAATTTTTATGTAAACGTGTAAAGCTGCTGTGGTTGGAGAGTGGGACGTCGTTGTGTCAGTGTGTAGCGGCTCGCGGTCGAAGTTGAAACAGTTGCGGTAGTTCCTCGTGGTCCCAGCCGATGTTCGCTTGCACACACTACCCTTTTACTGTATGTGCATATGTGCATGCACATGCCTATAATGTGGCCTTTTCGCCGAACAATGTACAGGAATCATTTTTAAAGGGAAATTGTAGTGTCTAGCTACAGTAGTGTCTATGTGATGCCAAGAACTCGTCCGATGCCTCCGACCACCGGTCGTGGCGGAGGCGACGGCGCCTTTATTTCCTACTGAGTAGATAGCGCCTTATTGGCATTGTCCTATTTGTACTGTGTCTTGTCTGGATGGAACCACAGTCTAGAGTAGACGACAGGCGATTTGCTTCTTATATGAGGTCAGGCATGGTCTGGGGCAGCTCCACCTCTGCAATAGCACGGCGACAAACACAATGCATCCATACAAACGCTGACGGTAGACTACTGTGATGTTCGTGGTTTTCTCTCAGCACGACGTGGTGATGCAGCGCTATATCATACAGTACATCGGCGTGGGGCCAGCCGGCTTGCTGTCGATTCCGTTGCTGGATGATGATGGTCTGGAGGTGTTGGGTCCACGTGTTGTTTCGAGGAAACCTAATATTCTAGTACATTTTTCGCAGGTTAGGGAGAAATTAGTCGCAAGCAGAGAAAACTTGCGACTGGCTTGCATACGTAATATCTACATGTCTGTCTCCCTGGTTGGACCCTTCTGGACTTGTTTTCGTGTCCCCCAACATTTGGCACAGTCCCTAATCCCCACACAGACAATATCTATATAACGCTATATAACCCAATGCCTGCAGCACCTGCAAGCTCTCTCTCTACTTGAATTCGTCCAAGCTGCTCACCTCTTTCTCCAGCCAACAGGTCCCATCCCGATTTTTTTTTCCTTTCAAAGCCTCGATCCGCAACCCGCGCTCAACAAACACCATGGTCTATCAATTGAAAGCAGCCGATGAGTTTGATTCAATTTTGGAAAAGAATCACGTCGTGGTCGCCGACTTTTTCGCTGAATGGTACGTTTTATCACTTCTAATTTCGCGAATGCACACACACGCGCCTCGCTTTCCTGTTTCTCACAAAGTAGGACTCTGTTCGTATCGTTATGGTGCGTTGGTCCGCTTTAAACGCAGGTGCGGGCCTTGTCGGGCAATTGCTCCCAAAGTAGAAAGCATGGAGAAGGATTACACGGAATTGCCGGCTGAGAATTCAACCACCGCCCCTGTTACTAACCTCGAGACTGGAGACGCAGGGGTGCCACCACCAGATACCTTACAACCACCCGCCAACTCTGAGGTCCTGACAGCAGAGGCAACTGTCTCGTCACCGAAGAAGGAAAAGATTAAGTTCGTCAAAGTTGACGTTGATAGCTTATCTGAGCTGTCTGCAAGAATGGATGTCACCGCTATGCCGACCTTCTTGATTTTCGTTAATGGTAGGCTGCACAAGACTATCATCGGAGCCAACGCACCTTTGCTTAAAAACAGTGTTCAGGATGCACTTGTTGAATATGTCAAATAGAGGGTCACGTCTGCGATAACGCACGGTACTATCTCTTGTTCGTGGACATATGACTATTCCTTTGTGGTGCTTACTGGTCGGTACGAGTTCCCCCGAGGTGCGTATAAGGTGGGCAGGATGTCGAGCACCACAATCTGCGACTTCCTAGACTACGCAGGGTTTAGATTGAAGGAGCTTTGCAATAGCAGAACTTTGGGAGTCGGATCGCCACATAGCATTCACAATAAACGCTACAAAGGAACTCCTCTTCCCGGAGGCTATGCTCGAATGCACAAATAAACACTCATTGAACACACGCAGTCTCGAAGTTTCGTGATGGTTTCCACGAGTGACTCTTCATTGGATTGGATCATTCCGCTCTGAGCCGCGGGTACTGGTATGATGACTGGACAACATCTCGAGATTCACGGGCGACACTGTTTGCTCCCTGTGAGTCAATCTTCCTTTCCTTTCACCCCTCTGATTGGCGTCATTCACATATGTATGTAGTCTATAAACGACGAGACTACCAAAAAAAAGGATCACGATAGCAAGCACATGTCAGGACTCTAAAGGAGGTCATGGATGAGACCTTTGAGTTCAACCGGGGAGTCCCACAGCCGTACCTCGGCGAGAGGTGGCCGCTCTAGAACCTTTCTATGCAAAGGAAATCCTTTTCTCGCGAGCACCACACCTTCGCTCCCCATACGTAAGACTGGGCAATGGTCGTTCCCACCGTCTCCAACATAGACGATACGCCAGCTATCGTATTCGTCGCGGATAATTCTCTGGAGTACTTCTCCCTTACAAAGATTTGCCGGGCATCTGTTACATTTGTGTTGTTTCTCTGGGTCATTCGGATCGATAAAAGGCCGTAATGATATGAAACCAGGCTCCTCCACTGTGGCAGGATTTGTGAAAATGCCACCCTCGAAAACTTGATCGTGGGGAAGATCTGCCTTCTTGAGGCAGGCGTGAATGAAGAGCGTGTTGGCATCTGACAGTACAACACTGCGCGCAGTCGGCGTAGATGCAATCCTACGCAAAACTGCTGCCGTTTCCACAGGGAAAAACGCCTCTGCAGCTGCGCTTAAAATCTCTTCTGGAGTCTTGCCCAATTCAAAAAGTGACATCAACCCGTTGGAAATTATGGTAGTCCATAGGTGAGGCCCTGCGCTTTTGCAAATGATAGCGCGTTGACGTGCTAACACTTCTGGTGCTAGTATCTGGAAAACGAGCGTGTCCGTGTTGTCCAAAACGACGGTATTATCAAAGTCCCACACGAAAAGAGAGCGCACCGTCATGGGAATGAAATGCGTGCCGTTTCTACCGCCGCACGCAAAAACGGGCACCGTTCGTCTTCTTCAGGTTCCATGTGCTGCCTGTCTCCATTCTGCAGAGAACATATCCCGCGTGCGTGAGTATTGATCACTACAGGGGGTCCGACGCTATAGTGCTACCCCATGACAGACCTCGACATATGGCACTATTGCGTGAGTGGCACTATACAAAAAGCCCAAAACACAATCATTAACAGACATTAGAGCATCTCCACCGCGGCAGCAAATTCGGTCCAAATATGATATTTACCAAATCAGGGCAAAGTTTGGTCTCCACTGCGATACAAAAACGCAAATGGTTTCGTAAAACGAATTCTAAATCGGCGTTTGGAGTTTTTCTCATGGCAAATCAGGCCGATTTGCAAAGAGATATACAGGAGTTGTCGTCTTGTGTATAAGGTGCGAGGAGTTTTGGGGAACGATGGTCGCGGACCCCGCCGTAGGAGGCCGGGGTCACACTTTAATATGAGTGTGATTTAGGGCTAATCTGTGGTGCCCTTACAGTCTGCGCTGATGTTCTCGTGGTCGCGCAGTGGTGTTGTGGTGCCCTTACAGCCGTGGGTGCGCGGCTGCGAGACGAGGCGTATGCTGTTGAGGTGTTTGGCATAGGTTTGCCGCGTGAGCGGTTTGGTGAGGCAGTCCGCTCGGAGGTCTGCAGATGGTTCGTAGGTTGGTAATATTACCTTGTCGCGTGTCAGTTGCTGTAACACGTGGTATCGTACGTCGATATATTTTGTTTTGCGTGTGGGCGCGGACGCCTCGGCGCCGGCGATTGCGCCTTGGTTGTCCATATGTAGCGCCGTCGTGGGGAGTTTGGTGCCGGTAATTTCGGTTGTGAGGTTGCGCAGCCATTTCGCGTGCTGCGCGGTTACGCTTGCGGCTATGTATTCGGATGCAAACGTGGAATCCACCACGGTCCTGATGCGGCGGGACGACCATGATATGGCGTTATTTCCGTAACAAATGACGTTGCCCATCGTCGATTGTCGGGTGTCGTGGCACCCGGCGAAATCTGCGTCGGAGAACGCGGATACGCGATGGGGACCTGCTGTGTATATTAGGCCGTGGTGGATGGTGTTGAGTAGGTATCTCGCGACGTGCTTGAGGGCCGTCCAGTGACGCCCTGTGAAGTGTTTGGTGTGTCGGGATAACACACAAGTGATGTAGGCGAGGTCGGGTCGGGTGGAGTCGACTAAGTATCGCAATATGCCTATCGCTCGGGCATAGGGATATTTTTTTGTGTCTAGGCATGTTTCCTGTGGGTTAGGGGCGTGCAGCTTCATGCCGGAGAGGTATGGGGTGTGGGCGCGCTTGGCCTTGTCCATACGGAGGAGGTTTACGAAGGACCGGGCCAAGTGTGGTTGGGAGATGTGCAATGCGCCGTTGTGTGACCAGTTCAATGACCAGCCGATTAGGTGAGCAGCAGTGCCGAGGTTTTTGACGCGGTATTTCTGCCTGAGATCGGCCAGCAGGCTTTTGTACATCCTGTCGCTGTTAGTGCCGACGGCGAAGTCGTCAATAGTTACCGCCATGATCAAAAATTTGTCCCCGTCGCGTTTTCGGTAGACGTTAGGGTCGCCTTTGAGCTGTGTGTAGCCGTGGGTGATGAGATGTCGACGGAGGCCGTCGCTGTATACACGTGGGGCTTGTGGCGTGCCCCAGAGGTTTTTTTTGTATGCGGGCGACCATGCCTGGTCGAGTTGGTGTACCGTTGAAGTGTGGCAGTGGTGTGACGTAGAGTGGTGTTTTGCCGCAGTACGGTTCGTGGAGAAAGGCGCTTGTGAGGTCTATGTGTCTCACGCGGATGCCGTGTGAAACGCATACGGCGAGGACAAGTCGCATGGCGTCTCTATCGGTAGAGAATGTCGACACGGCTCGTGCGTCGTAGTGTATGCCCGGCGTAAGTCTATTTCCAGGGTAAGCACACCGTATTTTATGCCCGATGACGTTTCCGGTCTTGTCTAGCTTGTAGCTTAGATTCACTACCGGTGAGAGTACTTTGGTCTTGGGCGGGAGCGCTGCACGGGGGACGTAGGCGAATGTCCCGAACGAGGAGTGCATGTTTGTTTCCTTGGCGTACGCCGTAGCCCACGCATCGGCGTCGGGGGCTGCTCGTGCCTCGTACAGATTGCGTGGTGGTTTGGGGGGTGGCTTGCGCACGGTAGTGTTGTCCGATGTGATTTTTGTGTGGCTTACCAGGTTGGCTTCGGTTGGTATGACGTGGTGGGCGTTCACCCTTGGGTGAACTACCTCCGCAGGTGGTAGTGGGTGGGCATACCGAAGGCTTGGGTCAAATTTGGGGTTGTAGGGTCTGAAATTGACTATGCGCGCAGTCATCAGTTGTCCGTTCCGGGGGTTAAGTACTTTGTAGTGCCGGTCGTCTGCTGGGTAGAGGTATCGTACTAGTATACCGCGGTTATCGCTTTTCTGTTTGATTGCGCGTACGTCCGGTATGAAGCCGTACTCGCCGAACATGCGGTAGTTGCCGAGGAAGAGACTACGATGGGGAAAGGGGGAGTATGCGTGGCGATACCGTGTCCAGACTGCTCTGGGGATGTCTTGGATGGTGGAGTGGTAGCATGAGTTGTGCTTAATGGTGGTGTCTAGTAGGCACAGTGCCCAGTACTTCTGGAACGGTAGTTTGGCTGCGGTGAGTGTTGCTCTCATCCTCTGGACGAGGGTCCTGTTGAGTCGTTCTGATACTGAGTTCTCTTGCGGGGTATGAGGCGTGGTGGGGTCGAGGTGTATACCCATGGACGGCAACAGTCCGATGAGCAGTTTGGTGAGGTATTCTGCCGCGTTATCGCATCGTACCCGTGCGACGGGGCGGTGGAAGTGCCTGGGGAGGCGCGTTAGTATAGAGCGGATGTGGTTGCCGGCGTCCGCGCGACGGCGTAGGAGTACGATGGTTGTGAAGCGTGTATGCAGCTCGGTGAAGGAGAGGAAGTACCGGTGGCCTTCGGGGGTGGCTGGGAACGGTCCGGCCATGTCGGTTGTGATCGTGTGCCCGGCCGGGGGCCGCGTGATGTGGTCATGGTGGGCGGCGCGTTGCATGTGTCCTACACTGCAGCCGTGGCAGTGAATGGGCACTTGGCGTTTTTTTATTGACGCTGGGAGGCCCAGTGGGATGGGGAGTGTGGCCATTTTTTGGAGCGTTGTCGGGGATGTGTGGTTCATCCTGAGATGCCACGTGTAGAGGTCGTTCGCGGCTTCCCGGAGAGTTGGTGGTATGTCGGGGAGATGGTATGGGAACCGGGCGATGTGTGTCGTTCGGTCTGTGGCGACTCCGCGGTGGCGGGGGGGGATGTTGTGGGGTGGTTTTCTTGTTGTGAAGGCCGTGGGTGTTGGGCATGGTGGCTGTGCTGGGGTCTGTTGTATTGCCCGTTGGGTGGGTGGTCTCGGTTTTGCTTTGGTGAAATAATCGTCGATGGAGCGTTTCGGTTCGTGCGTGTTGTGGCACTCTGCCGGGGGGTCTCGAGACTCGAGTTGTAGCGGTATGCCCGTTGGTGACGTCTTGGCCGTGTCACTCAGCGTTATGCTGTACAAGCCGTTGTCAAGGGTGAAATGCGCGAATGCGTTTTGTGGGGTGGGGGTGTGGGATGGTATCATATAGCCGCCGTGAGGCGTGAACACTACGTGGCAGTCATTTTGTAGAGTGACTTGTGCTACTGATAGTAGGTTTTTGGAAAAGGTGGGGATTGTGATGGCGTGCGGTACGCGGAGTGTGGCTCCTCGGTGGTCGTGAAGCGTGACGGAAGACGTATGAGTGCCTCTAGCTCCGGAGCTGTTTGGGAGAGCCGTGGTAGAGTGTTGGCGACGGGCGTTAGTAGGCGCATATCGGAAGAAGGATGGTGTGCATCCAGAATCGAGGTAGTATTTGTGAGACGGGTTGTGCTGTACCTGTGCCATGTCCTCTTCATTGTCGCTGCCTTTGTGCTGGTCGGGCTCCTCCGTGTGCTCCGTGTTGTATGGGGAATAATGGCAGTCATTGTAATCCTCGGGTTCTTGTATGTGCAGAGCGGCGTTGGCGCTGTTGCGTGCGCGGTTGAATGCGTCGGTTCGGCGGAAGCCACCGCGGCCCCTGTCGCGTGGAGGGTTGTATCCTGCCGTCTGCGCGGATCGCCCTTGGTTGTAGCCTTGGTACGGGGTGCGTCGTTCGTGTTGCAGTTTTTGGAGCTGCTGGCATTCGTTCGTGTGGTGTGAGTTGGAATGGTGGAAAGTGCACCAGGTGCGGGTTGTCCTGGTCTTTCGTGGGTTGATGGTTTCGGCTGCTGGTATGAATAGGTCTAGCAGCTGTCGGAGTTCACGGATAGTGGTCGTTCTGTGCGCGAGCAGGCTCGGTATGTGCTGGCGGAGGGCCGGGCGTGATGCCAGCCCACGTATGATGTATGCTATGGTGACGCGTGCGTCTGAGAGTCCTGGAACTTTGGCGCGTAGCATGGCTTGGCGGTGACTGAGGTGTCGGGTGATGTAATCTTCGATGGTCTCGCGCGGTTTGATGGTGATCGTCGTGGCTTTGGCTCGTAACCTTTCGTGTTCTTCGGGTGTTTCGTCCTCCTCATAGTGTGTCTTGATGTTGGCCAGCATGTCGGCTGGCGACAGCTGGAGGACGTCATATCCTATGATGCATAAAGTTTCCGGTGAGATCGTCGAGCCGATGATGCGGCGGACCTGGGCGATCTCCTTGGCTTGTTTCTGTGTCTGTTCAGGGTCGGCGCTGGGGCTGGCCGGGCCGCCCTGGACGGTGAGTTCGGTCAGACCGAGTTCCTGGATGTAGTTCGTAACAGCGAATTGCCAGATATCATAGTTGTTTTTCGTGAGGGTAGGGATGGGAATCGTGTATGGGGACGTCATGTTTGGTGTGCTGTCGGCCGTTTGCGGCGCGTTGTGTGTGTTGATGTTGTCGAGGGGTTCCTGCGCGGTGGCGTTGGCGTATAGATTGTCGATGTGCTGTCGTAGGCTGA